TTAATTATGCCTTCCGTCTTAAAAAAAAAAGAGGTACAAGTGAAAGTGGTCTGGTACAACAAATTCCTTTCTTGTATCGACAATCTCTTATATCGAAAGTTACTCGTTATATGACTGTCCTTTTCTTATAGCAAAAATTTTACTTACTGTATACCATTCTTGTTGTATACTGTATATCTATCTAGAGTTACTTGCCTTTTCCATTTAATTGCTGTCATTTACCACATCTTTCTAAAAAAGACTCATCTACTTTAAGACTGATCGATGAAACAGAATATATTGATGTAAAACAGTCTCATCTAATAGATTAAAATCATCCATCAAAGAAAACACTGATACAATATGCAGAGAGGGTCTCACAATTTTACATTAAAAAATTTTGGCGCTATTCTTCCTATTATAGGGAGAGAGAATTTCTTATGAAAATTTGGCACAAACGTATATCGACCATCGAAGGTATCGAGTTTTCGAGGTCTTTATTTAGGCGTACATGGGGTAACCCCTGGTTTTCTGTGCTTCTACTACCTATCAAGACATATCTAGCACCTTGAGGTACTAGTACATATTACTAATAAATAAAACATAACTTGCATATAAATATAAAAATACATATGCATATAACATAATTCTATTCTACTGTACATTCTATGATAATATTTACAAGACGGGTTGACATCTCTCATATGAGAGGAATTGGATGAGTGCTCACTGTGAAAACAAGGAGCTTGGAGTAAAGAAAACAGCTAGATATGTTTTATCTGGCCAGTTTCTTCGGAGTGGTAGCTTGGTGGTCCTTTTACGGTAGTGTTCCAGAAGACCGAAATATGTATGTTCAATCCTCTGCACTGCGCAAACCAGATGGCTTGATGTGCTATTGCTTTAAAGTAGCGGCGTTGTCGTTGGCTTTTTCCAAGGCAGATCGTGTTTACATTGGACCAATAAGTAGTCAGCGATTCGAAGGTATCGATATTTGACATCGCCATTACATGCATTACTGGATTATTCTACTCTACTTATCGAGAATCACGTGCTTATAGATTTTACATTTATTAAATCTTGTATTAATACATCTAGCTTGTCTTGGCAAATCGATTATTTGACGTCCATTCCTAAAAATATAGAGCTATTTACATTTAGTCATTTGATTGCTGTACATGAAAAAAGAAATGAGAGATTTTGTCCAACTTACCGAGTTTATTATGTATATCAGAATTACAAGAAGCTCTTCACACGAGTCTATAATTAGTGCTACGATTTGATGACATGCTTACTAACATTTTGATTACTGACATTCGATCATATGCTTGACTGACATTGATCGTATGATTCTACTGACATTCGTATACTGACATTCGGTCGTATGATTTTACTGGCATTCAATCGTATGATTCTACTCGTATGACATTCAATCGTATGATTTTGTGATCACCAGTCGTATGCACAGTCAAATCACATGATACAGATTTATCGAACAATGAAAAGAACTTTTGGCCGAGTTAAGCCGAAAACCGGCTTATTAATTATCGAGTCTGCCGTATTGTTGATGTCGAATTTTGAAGCAAAATACGTCACAAAAAGGTTGCCGGGTTGGCCGAATCATTTATCAATAGTGGTACAATGAGACAGTTGTAAACATTCCATAGTAATAGTTGTGTTGACATAATCGATGTATCGGATATTAAACATTGTATAAATAAATCTATTAAATTACAAATAGTTTTATCGTCTACATACTAGTTGAATATACAGCATGCCATGTTCATTCAAAGTGCGGATGCATTGTATTAATTGCTCTTTCTTATGTAATGTCAGCTGTTGTTCTGGGATAAACAGTCCGCAAAAATAATGGCGCTGACCCGCGACAAATATTCTCCCAGGCGATCAATCATAATATGTATAAGTTTACACATAGTAAAATGTTTATCATTCAAAATTTATATTTGTAAAAGACTAATTCTGTTTGCACAGTGAAAGTTCTCATGTACTGGTAATAAATTGAATTACGAGAATATCCAGAATCCAAGCATATATGTGACGAATGGTTGAGTATGTAATTATTAACATAAATTTATAGAACCGTATTGCTGTCCCACGGCTCAGAGTTGGCGAACCATTATGGACCATCTAAGTAGAAATGCATTGATCTAATAGTGTATAGGTCGATTTTAGCAATGCACGTTTTAATTGAAAGGTTTCTTTTTCATTGCTTGTAATCCATCTTATTACTATCACCAATCTTGTTATCGATATACATGTACATATGGTGCTCAAAATCCGTAGTTAGTTGACCATTTGTAATAACTCCTGCCTTGATTCGACGCATAAATCCACAATCATAACTGTACCGTTTTGGCGTACATTTGCTGTATTTGGCATCTTGTGGTGCTATGTCTTAATCAATATGTAGATTGTGTGGCTGTAGTGCATTTAACAAAAATATACAAAAGATACTCTTGAGTCTGAAGCAAAACTGAACGATTATTTGTGAAGAGTCACTGACACAGTATGAAAAGCTACCTGAATGCACGTAGTTACTTTCTCTATAAGAAATAGTATCTAATAAACGAGCCATATTTGCTACATGTTGCACCTCTTTTAGCTTCTCCCCCATACTCAGATTTAGAGAACAATGCATGTTGGTGTACTTTGGAGTGGTAACACATGTTCACGTAGTACTAATATTAGTACTCTCGCGCTTCCTTTACTAATATATCTGATTATTATATTACACTAACCTCCTTTTTCTAACATATCCTTAGAACGGTTTACTTTATAGCAATGCTTGAGTTTTGTCCGATATAGCCTCCTTATTAAACGGCCTAATCATCGCTTGCATGAAACGTTAAATGGTCTCATTAAAATAGTCTGACTTAAGTCGCTTGATTAAATGACCTGATATATCAAGACGTACAAAACTACTCTTCCAATGGTCTTTTATTAATTTAACGTTTGGCAATAGTGACAGATTTTTATCTGACTTTACGTGACTGACATTCGACCAGGAATTTGAATCGAATATGATGACAATAAAATCACGTGCGTGCATTAGAGTTATTCTCATAACTGGGATTGTCAAAATCTGTTGCACGTGCAGAATATAGTGTGCGTTTATTAGGGAGAGTCGACTGTATAGCACACTTCTCAACGCATCAGACACGTTGTTGACAGTGTTATTGTGACACAATTATACTGAATACACAGATGTTATCATGTTGTTTATACTGCATACGCAATACTGTATAGATTGAACCTTTCCCAATACCAAATTCGTCAGGTAAACATTTTTTCGTTGGTCAGAATGTGTGTCACAATAACAAAGTCACGCTATTGCGATATCACGTATTAGTATTGTTATGTGAGTGTCCACACATACATAAACAATCTTTGTTCGTACGCTAACTTCTTCACTTTTCGTTATGTTGGTTAAAGATCAAAGTTGCACGTTTTGCCACAATTGTAATATCCTTCGCGACATTATTCTTTCCCAAGACCAAAAGATAGCTCAGCTGCACAGTGATCTCGTTAGTGCACAGAAAACGTTGATCAGGACGTTACAAAACGAAAACAACATAGGCTTTGAAAGTGGACTGATGTGCAATGCAAAGAGCGTTGATTCAGTGGTTGGAGAGTTTTGTGGTTAGTATTATAATAGTGAATTTAACGCAATGTTTATAGATGTGTGTAATACGGATTAGTAAGATGAATAATTTTCGTCCATAAAAAGGCTCTATCAGCAATATTAAAAACATTGATAAACCAGGTCGGTTGATAAGTTTATTACAGCAGATATTTGGAGACATGAACATTGACATTCAATTTGTGCCAAATAAGGTATTTACTGCACAATTTCTTAGCACAGTTGTATTATTCTTTTGCTGGCTCTGATCTTGGTATTATGTGTATTAAACCAGGATTATGCACTCGTGTATTTTGCTAATCGATTTGCGTATGAGCAAGCTATTTTAAAGAAATATGTTTCACTCGATGGAATGCAACTCGCCATTCAGCAGATCGAGAAACCATAGATTTCTCTTCTTTTAGACTTGTAGAATGATTTTTACTGTGTGCGATAGCTTTTACCTTTCTGTAAACTCTCCAACATTACTTTTTCAATTTTGAGCATTAATGTGTAGCTTATTTCCGATTGAGAAAACTTGATTGATTACACTAGTAAACCGCTCCATTTTTTAATAGGTTGCTCTTAGAAATATCACAAACAACAAGTTAATGCTAAGTACATTTGGCTTTACGTGAGTCATCATGGCTTCCTTCTTTCTTTTGTTGGCACGTCAAGTAATCAAAAAACTCGTGTAATAAATCTCGGTAACAATTCGCGATATAAGCCAATAGTAACAAGATTTTAAATAGTCTTCTTCAACAACGAGGATAACTTAATAACAGTAACCCAAAGACAGAATTCTGTCGAGAATAAACATGCCCAACTATGCAACAGCCTAGTCGAATTATCCGAATAATTAGCTAACTAAAGTTTGTGCATATAATACTATGAATAAAGTCCATAGAAAAATTGGTAAAACGTTATCGACTTCTTATATTAACATTGTTTGTATCATGGCGTTAACGTGTTTTATGTGTTGGCAAACATAATAATAATATATACTCATACGCTAGACATGCGAATTATATCAGATTGTGCTAAAGTATAAAGGTCAAACCATAAAAGAGTAATTTTATAAGAACTTTGCAAACGCTATATTCATTTGGATTTTGCCAAGATATTTTTTTTGCAGCAAATACACCTTGATCATTATTATGTTATTATCGACAATAAAAGCATTTTTACTTTAGCATCACGTGAACAATGTTGCATAATAATACAGTAATCAGTTTTTGTTACCAAATAACATCGAGCCACATTTTGATTGCTCATCGATTCCTTATTGGTTACTTGTTCAGCCAGCGAGACAACTTTAAAAATTTTGTCTAGTTAGCAAGCAAAAAACTTCCGTCTTTTTCTAACTTAATAGCATATTCTCTTCATGAAACTAAAAGAAATTTCACGCACAGCAACATTTGCCTGGAGTCCAGGACAGCAAATACCAATTATTGCTGCTGGCACTGTTGCTGGTGCTTTTGACGCGAGTTTTTCAGTTACGTCAGAACTGGAACTATTCCGGCTCGACGACAATAAATCAGCTGGCATTGAATTGCAACCTGCTGGCGTAGTCACTAGCAAAGCAAGGTAGACCCTAACCATCAATAATATATACATCAAACTTGGAGTTTTGCTTTAAGAGATCGGCCTCTGGGTCTATCAAATGCTTATGTATGTTATGCTATGCCTTAATATCCAGATTTGACCGACTAGCATGGGGTGGTTTATCGGATAAACAATATGGACTCATCGCTGGTGGCATGGAAACTGGTGAACTTGACTTGTGGGATCCGGCAGTTATTTTGGAAGGTGGCGAGTGAGTCTCAACAATATATCACTTAGGAAAACGACTCGAACCAACTCGTTATTGACGATTCATTTATTCTTTATTTATTCATCGTAATTGACCTTCCCAATCAGCACAACGGAGGCACTGGTTTTACGCAATACAACTCATTCGGGTAATGTTCGTGGTCTGCAGTTTAACCCGTTCCAACCCAACTTGTTGGCATCGGGTGCGACTAATGGGGAGGTATGAACAGTGAGTTGATTCGGATTCTTATATTTGAACTTGGATGACTACTGCCGTCTAATGAACTACCTTTGTATCACCTGATGAATTTTTTGGCCAATTTTAACAGGTCTTTATTTGGGATGTCACTGCTCCCGCGTCACCACTTACGCCAGGCGCTCGCTCAACAAAACTCGAAGATATTACGCATCTTGCATGGAACAATAAAGTTCAGCATATCTTGGCTACCTCTTCGACCACTGGATATACGGTTGTATGGGATTTGAAGAATAAACGAGAAGCCATGCACCTGTCACATGTTGGACTATCAAACCAAATGGGAGGAACCTACGGCATGGGTGGAATGAATACCGGAGGTACGATGGGAGCTGGTGGAAGGAGAGGTATTACTGCTATTGCATGGAATCCTGATGCGGTATGTCTGTCATTTAGAACTTGACTATATATCGGTAAGCTTGAAGTGACGAAAAATGGTTCCAACTTTTTTTTTATAGGCTACACAAATCATTGCCGCTTCAGAAGATGATGGGAATCCGGTGATTGTAATGTGGGATCTTCGAAACGCGCGTGCTCCTGAAAAGGCAAGTAATTGTTTGTGCTGGCAGACACCCGTCTTCATTCACATTTTGGCTAACATTATTTAAAAATAGATTTTGTCTGGGCATCAGAAAGGCATACTGTCGCTTTCGTGGTGTCTGAAAGATGCAGATTTACTACTGTCATGTGGTAAAGATAATCGTACGCTTTGTTGGAATCCAAAGAATGCAGAGGTCATTGGAGAGGTAAACTAAATGAGCCTATTGAATCTTTACGGTTATTGTATACGTATGGAATCGGATGAGGTAACTTTGCTGTGGGTGTTGCGTCATTTTGAGTAGTTCTCACTCAGCGATTATGACCAACCAGTTTTGATCTGGCTGCTGTTTAAGTTTGCTTCCTTCATACATATGGGCAAACGAGTGACGCAGCGCTCAAGCAAGGCTCGTTCGTCAATACTATATATCATACTAGTTATTGTCACGCTTACATCGTGACTGTACTCTATAATAGCTTCCTCCGTGCTCTAATTGGGTTTTCGACGTTCAATGGTGTCCAGGAAACCCTGATTTATTGGCGACAGCTTCGTTCGATGGCAAGGTACGTTGGATAAATCTATATACTGTTGTTAGTGATGATATCTATAAAAGACTTGCGCTCAACGTTACTTTTACCATGCAGATAAACATCCACTCGTTACGATCATCTCAGGAGCCAAAGGAAGCTCCAACAAATTCACAAAGTGATCCGTTCGCATCTATCACTGCACAATACACACCTTCACTCACCCTCAAGCAGCCGCCGAAATGGTTGCGATGCCCTGTTGGTGCCAAGTTTGGGTTTGGTGGCAAATTAGTACGTTTCAATAACAAAAACACTGATAGCTATAAAGTTATCGTTTCAGCAGTAGTCACAGAACCAGAACTATTCCAGCGCTCCGATGAGTTGGAAGGTTCAGTCGACAGCCAAGCACTTAATTCCCTGTGTGAGAAGCGAGAAAAGAGCGCTTCAAATGAGCTTGTATCTGATAATTGGAAAATTCTTCGCACATTATTCAATGAAAAGCCTAGAGCGGAATTGGTGAGACATCTTGGATTTACAAAAGAAGATGTCATTACACAAATCTCTGCTGCTATACAGTCTATGAACCTTGAATCTACCACATCAAACCTTGAATCAACCGCATCGAACCCTGAGTCAACTACATCGAATCTTGAATCTACTATATCAGATCTTCAATCAACTGCAGCAGAGCGTCCAGCTACTACATCTGACCTGTTTAGCGGTTCGGAAAACATTTCAGATGCATTTGCAGTCGATTCAACGTCCGAAGATATATTTTCGGTTGTTTCGACAACGACCGAAACTACAATTCCGGCGACTAACTTGGGACCGTTTAAGATCTACCCGTCAGATGAATCAGATATAGACAAGTTAATCACTCGATCAATCGTACTTGGTGACTTTGAGTCTGCCGTGAACCTATGTTTACAAGCTGATAGACTATCAGATGCTCTTTTATTGGCTGTCTGTGGTGGATCTGAATTAGTACAACGAACGCAAAAAGCTTATTTTGAACGGCAGATTAGGAACGTGCCATATGTGCGTTTGCTTCAGAGTATCGTGGCTGGAGACTTGTCGGATGTAGTATATAATGCAGACTTGAATGAATGGCAAGAGGTCGTTGTAGTGCTTTGCACGTTTGCTCGCGGAGAAGAATTTGGTACTTTGTGTAATGCTTTAGGCACAAGGCTTGAGCAAGAATATCATAAATCAATTATCTCTGCGTCTAGTGATAATGCACGAAAAACAGCGTTGCAGTATAGAAGGAATGCACTATTGTGTTACCTGGCTGCAGCCAACTTGGAGAGGGCTGTGAATATTTGGATTGCTGAACAGGAAGAAGAGGAACAGGAGGAGCTTAAACGTGCTCAAAAGGAAGGTCATAAGAAATCGCTGTCCCGGTTTTCATTCCATGCAAAAAGTTTACAAAACTTTGTCGAGAAGGTTACAGTATTCCGAAAAGCTATTGATTACGTTGATTCTGACATTGTGCAATCTCTGGACTCTAGTAACGAAGGACCCGTTAGCCATTTCAAACTGACTTCCTTGTACAATAAATATTCCGAATATGCGGAGTTATTGGCGACTCAAGGTCGTTTAACGGTTGCTTTGAAATATTTAAGTCTGATTCCTGTTGAATACAAGGCTAATAATAATCAACATGACACCTTGGCTGTTATAAGGGAACGCGTATATAACTCTGGCATAGATGTTGGTGGTCTCAAAGCGCCGACGTTTCCATTTAAACAAGTTTACGTCGGTACAGAGGCTGAATTCAATCAATCGACTGCTACGCCGGCCGACGCTATCCAGTATCCAGCACAATATAATCCACAGCCTTATAATCCAAGTGGACAACCTGCCCAAAATTATTACAATCAATATGGATATCAACAGCAGGCGGTTCCACCGGTGCCTCCAGTACCCACTGCCAACGCCGGATTCCCTACCCAGGCGGCCGTTCAACCAGCCGTGCCTTTACAACAACCCTACGGATATAATCAATATGCAGCTCCGTATCAACAAACATACCAGCAACAAGCCTATACAGGATACAATCAAGCGTACACAGTAAATAATAATCAATTTATCCCGCCTCCACAAGCTGCTGCTCCGACCACCGAAACTAGTGCTACACCGCCAACAGAAGTTTCAGCTGCATATAAGAAAAACCTTCCGAACTGGAATGATCCACCAATTATCCCCCCCACCAATCCAGCAAAACGAGCAGCAGCGCAATTGGGTAAGCATTCACCACTCACTTCGCCCTTCCCAGCAGCGTCGTCTGCTCCAGCACCTCCAGCACATCCGGCACATCCGGCACATCCACCACATAATGTTTATGCACAGACCGCGCCGCCGCCACCACCACCACAAAATATACCGCCGCCACAAAATATACCTCCGTCATACATTGGACATCAACCGCCTAATCGAGGACAGCCTCCGCCGCCAGTTGCCGGATATCAGGTGATGGGCCAAGGAGCACCGCCAAACGCAGGTACTCGTGCATCACCACAACCACAAACTCGAATCTATGGGCAAGGTAGATCGACGCCGACACCGCCTCCCCATGCTAATCCAGCATATCGACCTGGTGGATATGGCACACCTGCAGAGGGTGGTTATGGTGCTGTTGCACAGACGGGCACTTATGGTACTACAAAACCTTTGATGGGGCAAGTTCCTCCACAAGCTCCGCCGCAAGTTCCTCAGCAAGTTCCTCAGCAAGTTCCTCCGCAAGTTCCTCAGCAAGTTCCTCCGCAAGTTGCCCTCCAAGGTCCTCCTCCACCTGCACCGACGAGAACACCGCCTGTACAATTAGCTCGGACACCTACTCCCGTGAAAACACCTACCCCAGCCAACAAGTATTGTGAGTGTGGATCATCATTCTATTGGCGTATTTAGTTTTTGATCTATTTAACGTTTATTAATTATTTGGCGTATTTCTTAGCTCCTGGCGATCGGACTCACATACCCGCTGCACATAAACCCATATTCACAATCTTAAGTGGAGAGATGCAAAGGGCTCGACAAAATTCACCCGTAAATAAATAACATTTTATTTTTCTCCGATTGCCTTATCTTTCATTTTCACTGACGAACTAAATGTTGTGTTTTCTTTCATAGCAACAAAATAAGAAAATGTTGGATGACACTGAGAAACGTCTCAACGCTCTATTTGATGAACTAAATAATGAAACGGTATCGGAATCTGTGGTCGAATCGTTATTGCAATTTTCACAAGGTAAGCATTTATTGTTACAAAGGGTTTCATACATTCATTCGTATAACCACGACTCTTGTTTGATTGGTCAGCTCTACGAGTCCGCGACTACCCAGCTGCCGTTGATATCCAAGTGAAATTGATGACTACGAAATTCTCGGAATGCGACAAATGGATAGTCGGGTTGAAGCGATTGATAGATATCACGAAGAATATTCCATAAATGAATTAATTAATAATATCAAATGAAAATAGGTTTCAGTAAATAGCCAAAGGGCTAAATATGTTATTAGAATTTTCAAGAATGGTAGATTGTGTTTAGAAGTTGTCGTATCTATCGTTAATCCTCTCGATTGGTAATCTGTATCTTTTTGGTTACCCGAGAAAAAAAAATTTTTTTTGTTAGAATGGAGATGATAAATCGTGTTATTGGTGTGGTTTCGAGTTGGTTATTGTGGCCGTCTGTGAATTCGTCATCATTCGATGTCGATAATCTGTGATCTACATCGAATTGGTCCACTCGAACGGATCTATGTGCTATTGTCGCTATTACAAGCCTTAACCGATGATAGACTATTGAAAAAAAAAAAAAAGATAAGCAATCATTCTTAAACGAGCAGTTTAGAATTGGGACTGTTGCGCAAAAGTAAAAGTAACAAATCCTGGAATGATATTTTTATCGACAAATCTGGCTTTGTGGCATGTGACCAAGTTTCAAGTGACACTCTAACGCTAAAATAAAAAGCCTCACCGCGACAGCATCTCAACGGCATTCAGAAGCTCAGTCCCACTATCATAACGTCCATTTGCTATACCTTGAGTACAGCCAACAACATCCCCCATTTACGACCTCCTTATGCTACAAAGCGACTTTTCACGATTCCTTCATTGCTAATACCTCTTCAAATAAGGTTATGTACGAACAACAACTAACTGCTTTTGTGGACTGGGTAAGTATCTTAGAGTACCCGTGTCAATCACGAAAGTCATTCTTCGAATGCAGAAGATAACGCCTACAACGCTCCATCTCATCATACCACTTTCTAGGTTAATACCTTCAATAATCTTTCGAATCCCGTAAATAAAATCACGGACCTGACTGATGGCCGAGCTTTATTTGAAGTATTACATGAAATGTAAGATGGTTTGCTTTTTACGCGAAATATGATGTCATATGCCAGATTTGAATAGCTTTCCGCATTAGGCGATTCATCAAAACTTTATATTTATAGTGAGCCATTGTGGTTCAAAATTGACCAACGATCCGATGTTCGCGATGACAATTGGGTTGTAAAGTCCGGACGGCTTCAGAAGCTTTACAAACTTCTCATACGACACTATGAAGAGAAGTTGGATCACTCAACTAAAGGGCTGGATCGGCCCGATTTTGATGCGATTGCTACAGATAATAATCTTACCGAGACAATAGCATTGTGTTCGTTAATTGTGACTTGGGCCGTGTGTCATGAGAATAAAGCGATTTACATTGAAAAGATTCAAAAACTTTCACCATCATCCCAAGAGGGGCTGATGGTTTTAATCGCTGGGGTACGAATTGACAAGATGAAACAATACAACTGCCTGCCGGTTTATTGCGATGTTATTCTAATGAGCAACGTGGCTTGTTAATTATGTAGGTTATGAAAAAGTTGGAAGATTCATCGTCAGTCGAGCCGAATACAGTAGGCGCTTCAGAGAGCACGTATGTATTCAAGCACGAAATTCTTTGTTGATTATGCAATGGTTTTACGCACGAGTATTGTAATTAATAGTTTCTGCTTACTTTAGGACACATTCATCCAACTATATCAAAGAACGTAATAAGCTCGTGAGCGATAAAGAGGCGCTCGAGAGAAGCCTTCAAGCGTTGATTGCAGAACACACTCAATTACGAGACCAATTTGTAAGGCCTCTGGTGATTTTTGTTAGCATATCAGGAGGCTGTTCTGACTATACATCTGAATGTTTAAGGACGATCTACAAGCCGAGAGAGATGAGTTGAAGCAACGAATAAAAGACATAGAAATAAGTCTAGCTCAGACTCAATCTTCATATAGTGGAAAAGCAGATTTTCTCATGAGGACAGAGATAGAAAATCTCCGGCAAGAAATGTAGGTTGAATTTGCGATGTTTTCATTTCTCGTCATTCTCTCGTTATTAATGCTAACAAACGTTCCCCCTTCTTATGACTTTCTTACTAAAGAAATACAAGCGAAGGACGGCGTCACGAGGCCGAAATGTTATTAGAAAGTCAAAATGCCGTTATTGCAGAGCTCACTCGCAAGGTGATTTCCCTTGATAATAATTCATTCAAGTACATTATCGCAATCCTTGCTCATGTATATAATCACTTATTAGGTTGAAGAATTACATTACAAAGAAGAGGAAGCGGCACGGTTGAAAGACCAGTTGGATGAAAACAGGCACAGCACGGAGAGGCTAAAAAAGGCCGAGAATGTCATAGAAAAATACAAGAAAAAAATGGAAGAGGGGGCGGATCTTCGACGAATGTTTAAGGTAAGTGAACGAACAACATTTAAAATGATCATATTGGTTAGAATTTATAAATTTGAGTGTCAACTTATTATTTGTTGTTTGTAGACACTAGAGGAGGAGAACCGACAGCTTGCTGAGCATAATGCCACAATCACAGAAGAGTTTGGGAAAGTGAACAAGATTAAAGCGCAGTTGGAACCTTATAAGAACAGAGTTGAGGAACTTGAACAAAAGAATAAAGAGTTAATCAGCCTTAGAAACAAATACGAATACGAATATAAAAATATGAAAGCGAAAATTGAAGCATATGAAATGGAGAAATCCAGAGACAATGAAAGAATACAGCTTCTCGAAGACAGATTACGAGAACTGGAATTTGGTGGTGGGAATTATTCTTACATATTACATACTACAGATGAAAATGGCAAAAAAATTTTTTAATCGATTATCGCCTTTGATTCACAGGTGAACGCTTAAATCTTGATGAAAAGGAAGAAGAAGAAGTAGATGACATCGATGCACCAGTCATGGGAGGTGAGTTAGCTAATGCGCTAACGGGCACCACTATGACTCAACTTAGGTTGAAAAACAATGAACTGGAACGGGAGCTCCGCAGTTGGCGCAGTAAGGGTAAATCTGCAGATGAGGATCAAGAAATCATTATTTTACAACGTCAACTCGCCGATGCGATGCGTAGTAAGGAAAGATCCGAAAAGGTAATATACTTGAGGTATTTTATTATTGATATGTATGGTATACGTGATGCGTAATTGTATGTTTAATTTATGTTTAGGATTATCAAAAAGTCCAGACTGAAAAACTGGACTTGGAAAGTAAACTTGCGAGAGTTATGTCCGGAGCTGGGTAAGCTTTTTATAGACTATTGCATATCAATGATGGCAGACTGGTTGAACTTCACTTACCCGTTTCCAATTTTTTATATCAAAGCATGGACATTAATGACAGTAATAAGGAATTGAAGAAGCAACTGTTCGAAGCAGAATATAAATTAAAGAATGCTGAGAAACAGCTCGCCGAATATAAAGTTAATTGTACGTTATGCGCATGTTTGCCATTTTCTGAATCTAGTTATCTCGAATATTTATTGAATGGCATAACGATTATGGGGTGCAAGCTTTATGAGTTTGTTTACGGGCAAGAGATAAGAATTGGTTATAGCGTCCCCTCAGAGGGGCGCGTGCATATAGAGAATAATCTACATAATGGGACAATTTCTGAAGCCCGTTTTCTAAATTCGTCGTTTTTCTTCTTTTACAGCTGCAACTGATGAAAGAGTCAAAGATATAGAGGCCGAGAAAGAGACGTTCAAAGCTAAATATGAGTACGTGAACCCAAGGAGTATTATGAATTGTGAATTTACATTGGTATTGGAATCTATATAACTTTATCTTTTATTTAGGGAATTGGACTCGTTGCTGAAGAACTTTGGAAATAGTACTGAAGACGAGCTAAGGGCGGAAATAGTGAAATGTAAACTTCAGAATACAACAAACATAGAAAAGATTCAGCGACTCAGAAACGTCATGGCTGGTCAAGACGAAGCAATAAAGAACCACTTGGCAATAGAGGAGTCCTTCAAAGTTGAAAAGGAAACTAGTGAGGAGAGATTTAAACAACTTAAGGTAGCGTTAACGCTTATCTGCATTGCAACTACAGATCATTTATATAGGTATTAGATAATGAACCGAATATTTCACATTCTGTAGCGTGACTATGAAGAGGCCAAGGCTCAACTCACATTAGAGAACCAACTCATGGTATCAGCATGGTTTGGAATAGGGCGACTTATTCAACGCGATAACGTTTCTCTCCAAAGGGGGACTGCTCCCAAAGCCTTTCTCGGCCAGCAACGACAGGCGGCTAGTGGACAAGTAAGTCTATCACTGTTTAAAGGGGGAATAAGAGACATGCTGTTGCTTTTCTCGTTCCAATATCTACAATTAACTTGCTTTTTTATTTGCAGATGAAGAGGCGGTGACTAGATGTAATCGAGTTGATGGTGGACTATTGTTAAATAAAGTCATGTTATTGTTGCGACTTTTTTTTTTTAGTTCAATCAATATGCATTTAAACATCACGTATTATAATCTCTTTTCTGTTTTAATTGCCTTTTTTTCTTAAGATATGCATTGTTTCTCGAATATTATATGGAAAATAAAAAAGACAAAAAACAAACGTTATGAATAACAATTTGATTGCTATTTCTATAGGATTTAGAATTGTTTCGCGAGCGGATGTGTCCTTCAAGAAAGCATCGTCAATTGGTTCTTGAACGCATTGCATGCGAAGAGAGCTCAAACTCATTAATGTGTAAGATCTCTTTGACACCGTAACAGTAACATTGAAGATATTTGTTCCGCTCTCACTTTCTTTAAGATGGGCGATCTGTAATACTACCGTCACTTGTGGCGGCCCCGTGTTACGATGCTCGAGCCCTTAATCACAGCGTAGCAGATCTGCTAGTGGTTTGGATATTAATATTAAGGTCCAGCCAGGCTTAAATGGTACTTGACTACAAACATCACACAACCATTTCAGCACTAATATGTGTCTATTTATATTTGTATTAATTTATTAAATCACTTTTGGCTATCTGCCATGCTGATTTGTATCATCAAGGAAAACAATAATGGGAAGGATACCAAACAACAGTCGGATAACAATATACTGCGTACGCTGTTAACTATTTTTACTACCCCATATACCACCAAAAAGTGAACTAATCCTACTTCCAGTTTGTTGGGGTTTTCTTCCAGCCCTTTGAGAGAGTGAGGGAGGGTATTCAATGTAATTGGAAGCAATGTCAAATAACAATGGTTTTGCTGGTATTGGAGTGACATCCGGAGGAAATGGAACAAGATTTGGGCTGTGAAGAGAAATATTTGTAGGATATGTATCCAAGCAATTACATAATGGCTGGAATTATAAGGAAAAATAAATCAGTAGGGTTCAATATTTCCTTTAATATGCAACAGCAGACACATATGTATACCTCATTATAAACTTTTGTTTCTCCGTCAACGCTTAGTTTGTCGAATTTCGCCTCTATATCTTCACTATGTGCAAGATGCCAGGCTGCTCTAGCCTTCAATTTCTCAACTCTTAACGTCTCTTCCAGTGAATTGATATCTTTGTTAGTGATAGTTAAAATATCATCCTTGTCGGCTTTTACGGAGAGTAACTGGGCTCTTGCTTGAGTAATGTACTCTTCATTTGCTCGCTCGTACAATAGAACTGCTTCAGCTATTTCCTGTGCCGCTGAGTATGCTGATGCGACATAATATGTTCTAATGGGAACGGCTTATTAGGAATCTACCATAAAAATAGAGGCGACTGGGCGACTAACACTCACCTCCACGCTTTGAAGTACCATATTTTGACATCAATTTCTTGTTCCAGTGATGGATTTTCTAGCACGCCTGGGAGCTCCTTGATCTCGTTTATGCTCTAGAAAATGTTAATTGAGGGAGCGTTCAATTCTTTATAGCCAGGCGTTGATTTGATATGTATTGCAATGGCCTTTTGCCTATATATAATATGATTGTCTAGTGTTTCATGTCAAAGTAGTAAGTATACATCAAGTCTGATGTATTCCGATTATTGAAATATATTACCTAGTTAATGACGTTATCAATAGTCGTGATCTACTGAGTTTCCTTCTTACCTGTAATATGTTATCGTATAATTTGACAATTTCCTGATATTTACCACCAATAAATTTTCCAAGCTCCGTTCCCTCTTGCTTTAGCTGATGTTTGGAAGACTCAATAAGCATCAAGTTTCTCTGAACTCTCCTCAAAAGATAATTATATGCAACATATGTGTACACAAAATTAAGATTCATGGTATTCTGCTCAGATTTGGAAGATCTAACTCTTGCAGACGCGTCCTGTAAAAATAAAGGCATTAGTCACAAGACCTGGAAAATGCATCCCAAACAGATGTCAGCAGGAATCAGTTTGCCTTACAGAGTCTTCCTTCACGGCATTCTTGGCAACACGTTCTGCATCGCCGTAAGCCTCGAGAACTTTGTCAAATAGCTCTATTCTGGCAGTATCATCTGCGGATTCAGGTGCATTCTCCAAATCTTTCGTAACTTCTTGAGCTCGAAGAATGCAGACAGCCATATCAGCATTCTTAAGTGGTACGACACGATTCCTCCAAGATATAGACGTCAGTGATGCGGCCTTCTCCCGGCGTGATTGAGAAAGCACGTCCTATAGAACAGATTAAATGTCAATATACCATCTAAAAATGAAAACTTTGGCCGTGGACAAGTCTCACCTCAATCTGTGCTTCAAGAAGATCCAAACCCACGCCCTTATTCTTTCTAACAGTAATCTTGACAAGATCCTCAACATCAGTAGTAGTACCCGAACCAAGGCTTAGCTTGTAAGCACAATAACGAATGTTTGGATCAATATCATCGATAGTCGACTGGCAGAGTGCCTCCTGATGGGACGTGCCAGCCGCCGAGAGTTTTTCACATATAGTCCTACAATGCAGTTAGCAATCTTTCCAACTGAGATGACTGAAAAAATTTGCTGGTCCATACCTAGCTGCCGCAAACTTGTCTAAAGCAGCTTGCCAATCTTGCTTCTCAAAGAATAAGTAGCCGGACATTAATGCAGAATAAGCCTATACTCGACATAGACAAAGAATCTTAGTCTCGTTTCCAATTATTAGTCATTACAACCACTGTACAAACCTGAGCCTCAAGTGCGGTCTTTGTGTCAACTTTTCGAGCGTCCATTAGGCAAATTTTTTCCAATGCTCCAGAAGATTTCGCCGCTTTCTTCAGTCGCTTGATTAGATGATGTTTCTTCCGTGTATCACCGCTCGATCTACTCTCGTGTTTCAATTCCATAGCGTAACTCCAGGCACGTTCAGTGTCGAAGAGGAGGATATCAAGAAATCTATAATGATGGTATATTAAAAGCATTATTCAAATTGGGAGTTATTCTGACTGGTAATCCGAGTTGTTAAATATTACTACATACCTGGCATCGGTGAGATTTTCTCCTGTAACTTCTTTCTTTTGAAATGCTCTCGATCGACTCCCTTGAGTAAAGTGTAGTTTTATGCGGAGGCGATGGAGTTTTGCCGCACAGTATTTTCTGAGCGTTTTAATAATGATCCGTTTGTTCAATTTGAGTCATAAATCATTCGAATTCTTCCTCAGCTGAGCATCACTAATCTAATCTATCTACCTATACCGCTGATAGTCCTGGTGACGTAGACCGTGTGTGTTTCTCGCTTCATTTATAACCGTCAAGACTAAAACAGTGAATTAGTTAAAGAATAATTTTTAGCAACTACCATTGTGATTTTAATCAAATAAAGGATACTATCAAGAGAGAATGTGAGGCTTTGTTGTCCTTTTTCTGGTAGATCTATCTCCATTTGAGACATTATGAAGTTTGCTCTCTTTGTGACAAGAATTTCGTTTGTTTGATCAAGTCCAGGTATTATTATTATTGGTTGGGTTATAGTCTAAACAAACTTGGTATTTCTCAACGGTGCATCTGTCTCCTAATTGGGCATTGATCGATGACGATTGTCTCGAATTCTGCCAGCAATGGTAATTTGGAAAATTAACATAACTATTAAAGCACGTAAAATCTTGGTTGAACACACATTTCTCTGTCCCTTGTAAGTAGTCCGAAGTAACAAAATTGTATATTATTTATATCCTAAACATGGCCGGATCGAACGTTCCTGACTGCGAAGTGTATGCCGCACGGTTGTCCGACAGCAAGCTAGGTGCGTTTCTGCGTCGATTAGGACTCTGATTCATTCATACAAGTAGCATTGCGATTCAAATCAACTCAGCTGTTATGTTGCAGGCTTACACGAATCATTCTATTTCAAGATTACAAACTAAAATATCAGATAGCAACGGAGCTAAGAGATTCCGTGGAAATATTTCAAAGTGCTGATTATGCGAGATTTTTGCAAGTTTTGATGCCAGTTTTCTACAAGATTCTAAATGAAGGCCAACCGGTGTTTAATAATAATGACCCACAACAGGTAAGAGTGAACGTCACAACAATTCACAAGTTTTTTTGTCTTTTATTGTTCTGGTCTAATTGAACTCGGCCTCCATAGAAACTACGGAACGTTATACTAGAGATTCTTCACAGATTGCAACAGCCAGACTCTCTGCAAGCTCGGGAACTACTTCAAACAGTAATGAAGTTATTACGAATAGAAAATGAAGATAACGCTGTTATATGCTTGAAGATCATTATTGATTTGCACAGAAACTACAAGAATATGCTTGAGGAGCAAGTGCCGCCTTTCCTAGATATTGTCATGGATATGTACAGGAACATGGAGCAGACAGTACGGGATTCGTTTGATGTAGCATCCACACCAAGTGGGAGTACCGTAAGCATCCTAATTTGCTTGATAATGCATTATATCTTTTGTAAGATATCAAGTCACTATTTTCCCCCCCTCATACATTCGTTATTTGATTAGCCAAGCCATGCATCAATAATGCCGTTTCCGGGTTCGCCCCGTCCAAGTTCTCCCGTATCAGACACATCAGAAATGACGCCTAGCAAAACTCTTGCCAAAAGCTTACATAGCTTCAAAGTACTCGCAGAATGTCCGATAATGGTGGTACTGCTCTTTCAACCTCACAGACAGGGATTGAATACGGACATACAACAGTTTGTTCCCTTAATAATTAAGGTAACGCGAATCGAAGTTCTCAGTTGAAAATGAAGGGACAGATCGTTGAATGTTAATGCCAATAGAGTTATGATAATTAATAATAAGTTGATAATTCCGTATTTCGCTAGACATTGAAGTTGCAAGCCCGTCCTCAGGCAGAAGCTCAAGAAGCGGCGAGGGCGAGGAATGAGATCTTTGTTGGAGTTGCTCCAGGTATAAGGGATCGAGTCAAATACACGGAATTTATTGTTGCTCAAGTTAAGGTAATTATGATTTGATTAGTACGACGACTTTTCTTTCGAAATATGCGCCACGTGAACTGACTGCCTCCGATCAACTTTAGACGCTGTCTTTTCTGGCATACATTTTGCGTGGATGTGAACGTGAATTGGAGCAATATAGCGATGACATTCCCGAATTTGTAATACGGCTGTTACAAAATTGTCCGCCAGAAGCGTCAGGAACAAGAAAGGTATTTATAAAGTGGCTTTTCTATATCAGAGCGAGAATTAACTCACAACGTTTGTGCATAGGAGTTGCTGGTGGCGACACGTCACATTCTCTCAACAGCATTCAGAGGTAGTTTCCTGAGTAAAGTTGATATTCTGCTGAATGAAAAAGTATTGATAGGTACTGGCGTCACGTCTAGCGAAACGTTAAGGTAAATGATCAAACGTATTCATACGATATCATGCGTTTATCTTACATCACGAGCTTTATTCGCAAAATAGACCATTAGCATACAGTATGTTAGCAGATGTAGTACATCATGTCCGTCAAGAATTGACTCCTGCACAATTAGCGCGGACTGTTCACATATATTCGCGTAACTTACACGACCCGACATTAGCCACAACTATTCAAACCATGTGCACAATACTTCTCTTTAATGTCATTGAATGTATTGTTAACATTCCAGACAAGAATGAAGGTAAATGAAAATAATCAATAGAGATATTGGTACTTGTACAGAACATGATATTAATACCCTGTCTATTGTTTAGCGCGTGATTTGCTCACGCGTATACTAGATACTCTCGCCAACAAATTTGAGACGCTGAACCATACTTTAGTTGATATGCGTAAAGTACAGCAGAGAAAGAAATTAAGTGGAATTGCAAAACCCCCAGTAGATGATTTCGACTTTGATGCCGCTCGGCCTATAAACACACATCCCACGACTCCTGCTTTATTAGCACTATCCGGGGAATCTTTGCATGAAACCGTAAATGGTAAAATCTTACGTATTTAAATGATATTGTGTCTTTTCATTTTTGAAAATGTCTCAATTGGCTAACTCGAAAGTATTGTTCCATTCAAGAAAAATGGGTTTTAATCAGACATCTTGTAAAGATGGTGAGAATTGTACCTAATCTTAAAAATTGCAATCCACAGCCGCAACAGCAATCACAGCAGTCTCAGACACAATCGAGTAATGGTCAACCATCCAATACAGTCACACGTGGATTCTCACAGGAAGAAGTCGATATTCTTATAAAACTATTCCGAGAAGGCATAAAATCGTTCGAGTATTCCACTATGGACATTAATTTTCCCGAGTTATTTCAACAATTAGACAGAATTCAGCTATTAGAGCAATCAGTTAGAATGCCGCACTTCACAAGAGCCAAAGAAGCCATTGAGATTTTCGCTAGCCTTTTTATTTCAATTGATTCGGCTGTTTTTCAGGAAATCATATCATCACAACTGGAGTTTTTCTATGATGCTATGATACAGAATCCAGCACTTCTTCAAATTCCGCAATATTTTCTTGCTCAGGGAGATACTGTTGAGCACTTTGCTGGACTCTTGCTTCGATTCCTCGTAGATAGGATGGATGAGTTGGGAGAATCAGACCCCGTGCGTGCTCATGTCATGCTACGGTTATTTAGAGCCGTGTTCTTTGCTGGAAATGCATATCCAGACGCTCTCGAACGAGTACTCCATCCTCATCTCGCCAACATTATTATTACATGCATGAAGCTCTCAGCTAGTGCCAAGGAACCGATCAATTATTTTATTCTACTCAAGTCACTGTTCAGAGGTATCGGCGGGGGCAAATACGAAATGCTTTACAAGGAGGTGCTTCCACTCCTACAGATGGTGTTGGAAGGTCTCAATCACAATTTATCGCTCACACCTTCAAGAAAAATGCGAGATCTCTTTGTGGAGTTGTGTCTTACTGTACCTGTTCGATTGAGTGTCTTGTTACCTTACCTTGGATATTTGATGCGGCCATTAGTATTCGCTCTCCAATCACATCAGGATTTGGTCACGCAAGGCCTTCGAATACTTGAGCTTTGTATAGACAATGTAACACCTTCATTATTAGATCCTATTATGGCACCATTTATGAACGATTTAATGAAGGCTTTGTGGACTCGTCTCAAACCAACGCAACAGAATAAGTTACATAGTATTACGACTACTCGTATTCTTGGTAAATTAGGAGGACGTAATCGAAGGATGTTTAAAGATCCACCACAGCTTGCTAACAGGAACCCTCCAATAAATGGACTTGAAACGCTTATTCATTTTGATCCACATGCACCGTCAATTACACTTCCATTAGACGAGTGTTTGTCGCTTTCAGCGAGCACTCTACAAGATCCAAACTCATCGGCATTTTATCGAGAAGAGGCTTACAAATTCGTAGCTGGAACAATACCGTTGCTTCTTAATCTGGACGGAGGACCTGAAAATATTGGAGAACTGATAACAGAATGCGTGCAAAAGCAATTGTTGGCAGCTGAGATTGAGACTGCATCGGTAGACAATACGAATGTAGAAACAAGTACTAATGATAATAAAATGGACATTGATGGACATGCTGAATCTAGTCGCCCTCGAGAGACATCTACATCTGAGAGGTCAATATCAGAGGGTCACAGACTAGCATTAAAAAGACGAGTTGTACAAGAGGAGACCCTGCGAAAAGTTATTTGTGCCTTATTTACCGCGGCAGCGATACCTGAGCTGAAGGATAGAGCGTGGCCGTTTTTGGAAAATCTTATTCGACACTTTGCAATGCTAGAAATAGGTGATGCAATAGACTACAGGCGCGCGCGAGAAAGAAAAGCTAGCCAAATTAACCTTGAGCAAAAGACCAAGAGTTATAATCTCGAGTCAAAAGTAATTGTTGAGGCGTTGGTTGACGTGATGTCTTCAGAAGACAAACGACTACAAGACTTGGCTGCTTCAGCACTGAAATTAATGTACGAGACTTGCTTGCTGATTGTAGGATCAAGGGAAGCTATACGCTCTTTTCCCTTATTTCATCTTCTTGCCTCTAGGTTCAGTTCTGGTTGTTACAGGCAGGAATCTTTCCGAAAGAGGGGAGGCTGTCATGGAGTCTACATTTTGAGCTCTGAAGTTAATATTGGAACTCGCTGGATGTTGGATCACGAACTGGAATTCGTTAAATCTTTGATTTTTATTCTTAAAGATGTCTCTCCGGATTTTGCTACTAGTAATGTCGAGGAGGCTAATAGAGCATTGTTGAAAGTTTTGGAAGTGTGTCATCGCCCAGAGAATACCGTTGACATTGATCCGGAAGAACGGAAGCAAAAACTACAAAAACTTACCGTCACGCTAATACCTGAATTATCTAATGCAACCGCAGCTGTAAGGGAAGGTATGCAGTCAGCATTAAAAAAACTGGCGGAGATGATGAATACAGACGTTACAGAATTGTTGAAACCAGTTAAGGATCATCTATTAAAGTCCATATTTCAGAAACCACTACGCGCTTTACCTCTTCAAATGCAAATTGGTATTCTTGATTGCGTCACTTACTGCCTAACGCTGCGACCGCCATTGCTAGAATTTACCGAGGATCTTAATACTTTGCTCAACGAAGTTTTACATCTAGCGGACACTGAAGAACAACCTCTCCAAGGTCGGACCCCGCCATTTAAGAATGTAACTTCTCTCAATAACTTGCGTATTGTTTGCATTAAATTACTCTCGGCTGTAATGCAATGTGCTGAACTGGTTTTACCTCCACAACCGAACACGCGAGCGCGTATCATTGGTGTATTCTTCAAATCGCTATATTCCAAGTATCCTGAAATAGTTGAAGTCGCAAATAAAGGCTTGCAACAAGTAATACAACAACAACATAAGTTACCGAAGGAACTTTTACAGGCTGGATTGCGACCTATTCTAGTAAATCTTTCCGATCACAAGAAGTTGACAGTTGCTGGACTGGAGGGTTTAGCACGTCTATTAGAATTACTCAAAAACTATTTTAAAGTAGAAATCGGAAAGAAATTACTTGATCATCTACGTTTGTGGGCAGAGCCGAGAACACTTCAAGAAGCTGCAACAAAGCCTCTCACCGAAAGTGAGCCTATAAAGATTATTGTGGCTATTCTTAATGTCTTCCATCTTCTACCACCAGCGGCCAATGTATTTCTGGACGAGCTTGTTACTATAGTTCTTGATCTGGAGGAACAATTGCGTCGGTCTTCTTCCAGTCCATTTAGAGAGCCGTTAATTAAATTTTTAAACAGATATTCAACAGAGGCAACGGATTATTTCTATGATAGATTGAGTAACGAGAAACATAGTCGACTTTTTTTAAACTTGATCGGAGCACCTAATGCAGAGAAACTTCGCGAGGAGATTATGGTAAATCAGGCGAAATTAAAAGAAAAGACATTAGATCCAGAAGTTAAAGATCCGGATGAAGCAAAGTTGCAACTCATTCTCATTGTAAGAAAAATTGCAGAGTTCCATCCAGAGTGGCTTGCGGAGGAGCAAACTAAACCTATTATTGAGGGTTTAAAATCGTATTGGAAGAGTAATGAACGGTTCGAGAAGGCAAAGCTGGAGATATCGCTTCGTTTACCCAAGATTAGAGAAGCACGTTTTCTGGTCGAGATATTCGTCATCTATCTGAAACAGAACTCAGATGACATTGATTTACTTTTCGACTTAACGACAGCATTCTGCCATGAGAGTCTCGTTGACTACACTTTTCTGAAGAAGTTTTTCCATGAAGTCGCTCTAACTTATGATCCGACTAAAAAAAGAGACATTCTAGATAAATTTCTGGATGTTATCGAGGATCAGTTCATTCCTCAGATAACAAAAACCCAGGCGGCGCGTATGATTGCCAACCCAATACTAATGGTTGCCTTTGCACGCGGCGCTCTGGAATACGAACATATACTAGCCGGACCAGTTATTGAAAGGCTCCATCGATCCATATGGGGGCCTAGAGCCAACGATTCGCAAATGGAAGATACGCTACGAATTGAATTGCTTCAATTATCAACGCTTCTTGTGCAAAATGCATCACATCTCCTTGAAAACGTGAAAAAAGATCTCTTCAAATTTGGATGGAATCAAGTGAAGGTGGACGACATTACTGCGAAATACTCTGCATACGTTCTTATTGCAAGATTCATAGCTGCGTACGAGACCCCTTTGAAATTTCCTAAACAAGCATATCAAGCATTATTACGAGCATCTCAACTTGAAGCTAGGGGTTTAGTAAGGCAGGCTTTGGATATCATTACTCCTGTTCTTCCGTTGCGCATTGATCATAGTGACAGTTCACGCAGTAGTTCTCGTCGTAAGTTCCCAACATGGGCAGCATTAACCAAAAAAGTGCTTATGGAAGATGGATATAGCGTATCGCAGTTGGTCAACGTCTACCAACTGCTCGTTCGACATCCCGATTTGTTTTATGACAGCAGAGAGCACTTTATGCCTCAGATTGTTGGAACTTTGACTCGTCTGGGACTTTTAGCGAATGCAACTCCTGAAACTAAATTATTAACCATAGATCTGTCTGATTTGATACTCAAATGGGAGCGTAAACGAATATCAGAGCATCGAAAGCACGACATCAGTGCAACTTCAACGCCAATTGCTTCTATTGGTAGTCCGGAGAAACGCCGATTAGAGTTCGATTTGGAATCACCACGGAAGAGACAACAAGTGGAAATTGGAGGAGACATAAGAGCATTATCTGTTGATACAAATATTGAATACACATTGAGTGGTAATTTGCGCGAGAGTGTTGTTTGTTACCTTGTGCGATTTGTGTGCCTGGCAAACGAGCCGACGAATAGTAAGTCGGCATTATCTAAGAGAGCGCTCGAACTTGTAAAGGAATTCCTGCAACCGGAATATTGGCCAGAAGTGAACATCAAATTGGATTATTTTGAAAGGACATTGATGCTTCCGGAAATAGTGAATGAAGCTGCTTATTGCAACGCATTGGAGGTGCTGAATGTAATACTGGAACGAAAGACATCTGACTGGATTATAACGAATATTGGTCAACTTCATAAATTGCTAGAAAAATCTATAACTAGTGATAAGGCAAAGGTACAAAAAAGCCTTTACCCAGTGTTAGCGCATGTCTACAAAGCATTACCAGATGTAGATGAATCGGCAACAGTAGACAGTGAAATCGAAGCATTTACAACTTTAGTTGAAAAAACAATTCAAGATGCGCTCAACTATTCTGGATCAAGTGTATTTACAGCTTTAATGCTTGTTAAAGCTGTCGGTAGTAAACATTTAACGAATATCGATAATTTCTTGCCAAACCTCATCCAAGTAGTTCAGAAGTTTGCCAAAGAACATATCCACGGCACAGCTCCTCAGTCAAAAGAAGTGACGCATGTTGAAATATTGACAATGGCATTGCAAATAGTCAATTCGCGAATACCTTCGCTATCTCTCGAACAACGGGCTAACTTTGTGCAAGTACTTTGTCAATTGATTGATAAAATTAAGGATAACGTATTAGCTCGAGCCATATTTGAGATGGCGAAGCAATGGATTATTAAAAAAACGGATACTTTACCTACCATGAAAGAGAAAGCTAAGATTTTAATGAAGATGATGTCTTTTGAGTCTTTAGAAGATAAGACATTATTGGAAGAATACTTAGATCTTGTAATATCCATCTATAGTGATCCATTGTTTTTCAGAACTGATCTCACGAAAAAGCTTGAGCAAGCATTCTTGATGGGTACTCGCAGTAACAAGCCTGCCATTCGTAATCGATTTATGGATATATTTGATAACAGCATGGAAAGGAATTTGTATACCCGTCTGAATTATATAGTCAGCGTTCAAAATTGGGAATCTCTTGGTGCTCATTTTTGGCTTCATCAAGCATTAGATCTTCTTCTTGGTGCTGCCATATCAGAGACTAAAATTAGACCACCTGCCACTGGATTACAAACTAAACCTATCACCACAATATATTCTAATCTCATCTCCGCTGAGTTATCAACTGTTGTAGATTCTAAAGTCACGGAACTGTTTCATAGTCATCTTGAGTTTATACATAAATTGGCTAATATAGAAGCAAGAGATCTCATTAGACCGATAACACAACTTCACCATTTGGATAGCCAACTCGCTTGTCAATTATGGATTGACCTGTTCCCGTCGTGTACGGGAATTATAACTCACAAGGATAGACAAGATTTGACAAAGAATATGATATCTCTGCTTTCTAAAGAGTATCATATAAAGCAGGCCGATATGCGTCCTAACTGTGTTCAAGCACTGTTGGATGGTGTATCTCGGTGCGTGCCACCTATGAAGTTACCACCTCATTTAATCAAATATATTGGGAGGACTTTTTGCGCATGGCATACAGCGTTAGAGCTTTTACAACAGCATACAAACGCTCCCCATCGAGACGAGGACAAATTCAAGGATGGTACATTAGATGCATTGGCCGATTTATATGCCACATTATCCGAAGATGACATGTACGCTGGTTTATGGCGCCAGAGGTCTTTACATGCAGAGACGAGCGCGGCTATCTCATATGAGCAATGTGGGATGTGGTTAGAAGCACAACTGGCATATGGACTTGCTCAGAATAAAAGTCGATCTGGTGGGTCGCAACTTACTGAACCCGAGTATCTTCTATGGGAAGAGCATTGGCTATCATGTGCTGAGAGATTACAACAGTGGGACATTCTTTTAGATTATGCGAAGAATGAGAACAACGCGGATCTAATACTTGAATGCGAATGGCGTCTACATGACTGGATGGATGAAGTAAAGTTTATTGAACATACAATACAACAAATATCTCATGAGCCTACTCCTAGAGGGAAAGTTTTTGAATCCTTCCTAGCATTCGTGAATGCTCAACAGGATAAGAATACAGATGTGTTTAAGAAGGCATGTGATGAGATGCTTCAGCTGACCTTACGCAAGTGGCATTCACTCCCTGGAATCATATCACAAAGTCACATTCCTTTGTTACAAATATTCCAACAGTATATTGAACTGGAAGATGCGAATAAGCTACTCACGACTCTGAATAATCTGAGTAGTTCGAATGCAGAAGCTAAGGCATTTGAGATGAAATCAGTGTTTCAAGGCTGGAGAGAAAGGTTACCTAATGTATGGGAGGATATTAACATTTGGAGCGATTTAGTGGCATGGCGCAAACACATATTCAGAATGGTTAATCGTGCTTATCAACCATATCAACAATCCACAGGCAACTCGACATCTAATAATAATTTCGCATTCAGAGGCCATCATGAAACTGCTTGGATAATCAATAGATTCGCACACGTTGCTAGAAAGCATGCACTTTCTGAAGTTTGCGTAAGCTTTTTACAGCAAATTTACTCTTTACCTAATATCGAAATACAAGAAGCGTTTTTAAAACTAAGAGAGCAAACAAAATGCCATTATCACAATACAAATGAACTTCCCCTTGCACTCGATGTGATAAACAATACAAATCTCAATTATTTTGGTCATCAGCAGAAGGCCGAATTTCACACTTTGAAAGGAATGATACTTGCTAAAATGAATAAAGACCAGGAAGCAAACTCGAGCTTTGCAACAGCAGTTCAGGTTGATTTCCGTCTGTCTAAGGCATGGGCAGCGTGGGGACATCACAACGATAGAAAATATCAACAAGAACCGAACGATATATCTCATGCAACCAATGCACTGAGTTGTTACTTGCAAGCTGCTGGGTTGTATAACAACCACAAGTCAAGGAAATTATTACTTCGTATACTGTGGCTATTAGCTACTGACGATACTCAAGGAACATTAGCAACAGTATTTGAATCCTATGTTAGTAAGGGAGACGTACCAACATGGTATTGGATTACATTCATACCACAGTTGATCGTTTGTCTACAGCACAAAGAAGCACGTCAAGCACGCTATATACTAACGAAAATAGCCAAACAATATCCTCAAGTAAGTAAAAAGTTATGTCATTGATTAAGACACCAATGTGCACGAACTAAATATAATTTTTGACTTTATCAAAAGGCTCTCTATTTTCACTTAAGAGCGTGCAGAGAAGAACACGCAAATAAATTGCAAAATCATTCAGCTCAACGTTCTGCTCAATCCACGGCATCCACGTCCGCTTCCACATCTGTTCCTAATACTCCAGCAACTCCCAACCCAACAACACCCGGACCATCCAATGGCAACGATGGGATAGTAATACCAGCTCCAAGCACGCAGAGTAGTCCTAATCCAATGAGTCCACACACAGTGAATCTCAATCAAGCCAGTCCCGTTGCATCACAGACACCTCAGACGCCTCATTCAGTACCAGGGCAAACAAGTCAGCAACCACCACCATCATCATCACAACAACAGCAACAACAACAACAACAACAACAGCAACAGCAGCAGCAGCAACAACAACAACAACAACAACAACAACAACAACAACAACAACAACAACAACAACAACAGCAGCAGCAGCAGCAGCAGCAGCAGCAGCAGCAACAGCAAAAGCCGAATGTCAATAGGCAGCCTTGGGAACACGTGGAAGACATAATGTCAGCCTTAAAGTCAACTTATCCTTCCTTGTCTTTAACACTTGAGAGTATGGTTGAACATATCCGAGTAAGGCTGAGGTCTACTTCCGATGAAGATATTTATAGATTAATTGTAGCTCTGTTTAATGATGGCGTGCAGGTAACGGCAATTTAGCAGACAAAGACAAATGTTTAATCTAACTACTTTATCTGTTAACAACGTTAGTAACTCTTCTTCTTTCAATAGCAAATTACGGGAAGAGTTAGTAAGGGAATGGATGAAACAGCGTTAAGTAAAGCAACAGAAGATAATATCAAACGGTTTGCTAATAGTCTTCCTCCTGGTCATTTTCAAGTATGCGACTTGTGATTATAGGAAAAATTTTGCTATTCTCTTTTTTTGCCGATTTTTTGCTGAATGTTTTGCTTGTCTTTGTAGAAAGCGTTCCGTGAAGAATTTATTCAGAGTAAGCCTGATCTTTTCCAATACGTGGAAAGCCTTCGTAAATTGCGAGACAGAATTGAGACAACGCTCGATAGTAGACATCGTAAACATCACCTCGAACATTTTTCCAATTATCTTGCCGAACTCCAACATCAAAAATTCGATGAAATAGATATGCCTGGACAATATCTTCTCCTTCGCGATCATAATAACAACGACTTTATTCGTATTGAGCGTGTCATGCCTGAGGTAGATTCAATCAGATCACATGGATGGTGCTACCGTAGACTCACATTCCGAGGATATGACGGTAGCCTACATCCGTTTGCTGTTCAGCAACCAGTGACAAAACACTGTAGACGGGAGGAGAAAATTATACAATTGTTCAGAATATTGAACAGTGTATTGGCAAGGAAGAAAGAAAGTAGGAGGCGGGAGTTGTTCTTCCACGTTCCGTTGATCGTACCATTGGCTCCTCAATTAAGAATAATTGAGGACGATGCTTCGTATGTGTCGTTGCAAGATGTATATGAGGATTATTGTGATACTCATGGTATTAGAAAGGACGAGATACTTTTCTATTATGCTAGCAGGATGAGAAGGAATATACCTCAAAACAATCAGGTGTGTTTGGAATATCATTTGCTTATGCTAATAGTACATCACTATCAGTAAAAAGAGAATTTAGACGCTTACCTTTCAAGCAAAATAACAGTTTGCATAGTGATATTAGACAGTGTTAGGTAAAGCTCACCAAGTTCTAACATTGAGGCGTTAACATATATTTCCTACTTTCCGATATTAGGGTAGCGTCCAATTAACTAACCAAGGATTGGAAGTTGTGGAAGATATTGCCGCCAAGTTTATTCCACCCGATATACTATCGAAATACCTTTCACGATGTATGAAATCGCATTCTGATTTGTGGATGCTGAGAAAGCAATTCACTAAGCAAATGGCATCAGTTGCGTTTATGACATATACGATGGGCATTGGACAACGACATCCGCCTAAATTTATTATCTCAACGAATACAGGAAACATATGGACGACGGACTTGACACCGAACATGGCAAATTATGGTGAATACGAACAGCTACTGATCGTTTATGTCTGCATTTGTATTAACTCTCTATTCGCCCTATAGTACTGGCTGTGACGCCATTGATGACAACACATGAAACTGTGCCATTCAGACTTACACGCAATTTGCAAAACTTTATGACTCCCATTGGAGTAGAGGGCGTCTTCGCCAGCTCGCTGATGGCTATCGGACAAAGCCTTATCGATCCAGAGGTATTGTATTTAGAAATATAGGTTGTCTATGAAATTGTGCGTTGTGGTTTAGTACTGACGGCGTTAATATTATAGTTTGATTTGAGTCAATATTTAAGTATATTTGTACGAGACGAAGTAGCAGCGTGGTTTTTCATGAATCAGAAGCAATGCACCGAAGTTCAATTAAAGCAGAAAATTGCTACAAACGTAAACGTAATAGTACAGAGGGCTCGTGAATTGTCATGTAAAGACATTCGAGAGAAGGTGACTGATGCGGTTCATTGTTACTGATTATGGCTTTGCGGCTACGCATACAATCAATGTACTAATAATATTTCTGCATTTCGTTAGCCTCCAAAGGATCCGAAGGTTGTTGTTAATCATGGAATTCTCGAGTTAATTGCAAAGGCCACTAATCCGCAGAATCTCGCATTGATGGATTTCACTTGGATGCAATGGCTGTAGACTTTTGTTTAATTAATAGTGACGGTGAGAGGAAGATTAGGAGAGAGGAGAAAAGGGTATTTGTTTAGTTATTTGAGTTCGAAACTGTGTATATTCTATATAATCATTTAATAAAACCCCACGTCAAATGTGAAATTCTCGCAAATAAGAGTATCTCGGAGTCCAAAGTTTTAGCGATGATTAATATTTATTGTTCTTCCTAATGAAAAGCGATTTATCACCGTCCTGATGTTTTTAGCTTAATTCGTGAACAACATTAGTTGCCTTTTTAACTTGACCAAGTTTAGTGTATTATAATTAGTATTAGTATTAGTATACTTGATAAATGTGACAGATTAAAACGAAGATAAAATTTTCTCTATTTTAACAATTTTCTAGGTTTGTTAATAGGTATTAACATTCTGTGTGGCGCGTTGATCCAATCAACAGTCAGATGACGTTTACTCGTATTGCGCAACTTCCATTTTTTATTCTCCATTTCCCAACTCGGACGAAGACCATGGATCGATTCTCTGGAAACTTCGACCGTTTCTCTGACTTGTTTAACCCTTACGACAGTAATCCAACAAACGCGAATCATGCAATTGGCGATTTTACAAAATGTACTCGGTGAGTGAATACAAGGATATCAATATGTCCACGAGTGTTGAATAGCGATTGACTAAGGATAAATTTCACAGAAAACCTTTGGTTATGGGTTCTACCGTCCTCGGTTTAGAATACCAGGACGGTGTGATGATTGCTGCTGATACCCTAGGTAATTGTTGAATAGGAATTTTGGGCGGTTTGATCGGAACCGCTTAATTGAGAACTAAAGCACGAGTGTGAATCTTAGGTTCCTGGGGTCAACTTGCTCGATACAGAAACGAGTCGAGAATATATCCTGTTGGCAATTTTACAGTGCTTGGCGCCGCTGGAGATATGTCTGATTTCCAACATACAAAACATATGTTGGATTCGCTCATGTAAGTGATCTGGGAAGCGGTTAATATTAACAGTAATAATAAAACTACAACATACGTGACTGAAATACAATGCGATTGGAATGTTTAGGATAAAGGAATACTACACCAACGATGATCATGTATTATCAACTCCACATATATATGAATATTTAAGTCGTGTCTTGTATCATAGAAGATCAAAATTGGATCCATTATGGAATACATATGTTGTCGGAGGATATAACAATGGCGAAAGGTATGCCTACATCACTAAAGTATCGAATTTGCTCGACACGTTTCATCTCACCCTTTCTCGATACATAGGTTCCTGGGTTACGTTGACTTGCTCGGTACAACGTATCAATCTTCCATAGTTGCAACAGGCCTTGGCGCATATTTTGCACAACCTATCCTTCGTAACGCTGTCGAAGGTCGCGAGGGCATTCTTACGGAAGCAGAAGCAATCGAAATTTTAAACACTTGTATGAAAATATTATTCTATCGGGAATGTAAAACATTGAATAGAATACAACGAGCCAAGGTGACAGCAGACGGTGTGGAGATAAGCGAACCGTATGCTTTACCCACGGAATGGTCGTTTGGTGAAGGAATTCGAGGATTTGGAACGCAAACGCAATGATGAATAACCGGATTAAATTCTACTCTTTACAAAATGTTTGACAAATACTATCTAACTTCATAATGTAGCATAAAATGAGGTTATTTGTGAAAGTTTTATGCATATGTCTCTTCTTCCTTCGGCAACTACTTAACGCCGAGCATGAAACGGCGTTTAATGCTCTCGAAGCACAATATAACTCGATGGGAGAGTTTCACGTACCCTTTAATTTGGCTTCTGAATCGATGAGAGTTACCTTATGCTTTGCTATATCACTAATGACTTTCTATAATGAATAATTTGTCCATACAGTTTGAGATGGGGCTGCTAGTGCCTCAAGTTAGACATGCTAGCATTGAAATTGAAACGCTATGTCTTCCACCGAAATACCATCTTATAATGACTGTAACATTTGAATTGATCCCGGTCCTTTTCTACTTTGCAGTCTTCATCAGAAAGGAGCTCGCCAAACTGAACTTCTCGGATACGAGATTCGGCCTTTTCGTGAAAAGCTTGAAAAGCTGCAGCGCGGTTACGGAATCTGTGGCCGCACGTAGAACGTTCCCAATAGTATTCTGGTATCATTTGCTCCAGTCCATGCGCTCTATGCGTAAATAATAACGGCTAATCCTCAAAAGAACAAGCAGCACAGCAAATCAGTGGTAAGACCACGAAAACTCTCAAAGAACAAAGTTATATCTTATGTGGTTTTATTTAATATTGGTGTGCTAGCTCACGCTAAATGAAATTCATCGTTGACTTTGCCAGTGATTCTGGGCAACCCAACTATACGACACAATAAAAAAGTTTTTGGAATAAAATTTGTATCAATTACATGCATAATGATTCGTATTTATTATTAGCTAACCAAACAACATCGAACTCGACTAAATTGAATAAAAAACTCGGAATTTTGTTCCACTCCTCTACCATAAACTCTTCATGTTTTAAAAGTAAGAGACGACAAAGGCTGATTGTTTGCTTCGTCTTTTGAATTTTCTTGGTTAGAGCCGCGTTAGCCCATTGAACGATTTGTTCGTTCCGAATTATGAAACGGGCTTTTCCTAATCTTATTAGGCAGCCCGTCACAAGACGGCCTTGCCACTTCATAAAACAAGTATTCATTATTGCTACGCGTCCGGAGGAAAAGAGCCTTAACTTCAGCTTGTTTCTCCTTCTACGCGCCGTTTCTTGTGAACATTACTAGTAAGCATTGGCAATGCTAACTGGGATTGCTCTGTGCCGTCGAGTAGTTGAATAATAGACACATTGCATTTATTTAATAGAGCTCGCAGGACGTTAGACTCTCTATGAGCATTGCCCTATTGCTCTCTGTCAATAGCACAAAGTTTTCGTTGCAAAAAAAAACTTTACAATTTGTGTATTGAATTATATTCACGCGATACTGCGGGTTGTGAAACTCTCACAACGAATAACTATATTAGTCGAATACGTTGTTGGGAATGTGCTTATAAACTGTATAGAGGGTTTTTTTTACAAGTTCAATAGCTTATGTGCTTATTATTATAGAGAGGTGACTATAAAGAGGGTTGACTGTACAAAATTTATGTTATTTCATAAAAGGTAATTACCGGAAGAGGGGTCCGTATTATTTCATCGACAATCATTTCACCGACAGACATTTCACCGACAATTAACTACCAAAAAGGATAACTTCGAAATAATGTTGGTAAAGATTTGTCGGTGAAATGATTGTCGGTGAAATGATTGTCGACGAAATGATTGCCTCCCCCGGAAGAGTGTGTATTGCCTTTTCTGGTAAGCTCCGTGGGAAACAAATAACGAATGAACAACCTGCCATGCGATTTCATATTTAAAATCGCTTGTGGATGTTGTTGCTTACGCGTGTCTTCTTCGTTACACGAGTCTTCCAACAGTAGTAGTAACAACAGTGAACTTACGGAAACCACCATTTATTCATATTGGCGCAAAATGGATAAAACTATTACACGCACTCTATGTCACATCCGCATAATCCAGCAAAAATTGCGGTATGCAGTAGCTGCAAATAGCATCCTGATGGTCGGCTAAGTCACAGGCATGCCATAATACCTAGATGTATCGAAGATGTTCTATAGACGAAAAAAAATAAAATCCAACTCTGAAATATATTCATTATCATTATTAGACAAATAACTGCGATAGTTAGAAATTGGTTATAAAAACGACCTTTGTCCTGAGCTGAAAGTTTAGCCTTTTGCTTGCCAAATTTGTTTTGCTCTTGTTCTTAAATAAACGCCTAACTATCGATGAAATGAATCCAACGACCCTAATAGTAAATAACGATCTTAGTATATGGATTTAATGCATGAAACGTCGTTATAAAATTCGTTAGTTTGTGCAATCTATAATATTATAACTAGTTTAATCGAACAAAAGAATAATAAATGCTTTACTTGAACTCTCTTAAAGTCTCCTAAGCGTCTATTCGTGAAGAGAGATCTATTTACGTGGTAACGTAGCATTTAAGGAAACTGGTTATCCTGTAAGACTTTCACTACGAGAAGTAAGCCTTATTTAAAAAAGCTTCGTTATATCACATTATGTTTGCTGGGAACAGATGTCATTCGCTTAGAAACGTCATTTGTAAATAATAGGCGAGATCATTCGATGGAAAGTATTACGTTTGTTAAGAAAGATGTTGCGTTAAAAGCGTTAATCGTATCATAAGCGAAGCGCGTCTTTTTGTCGGCTCGCAACATAGTGGTTTCATTATACGTATTTCGTGGCGAGCGTTAATAACCGTAGACCAACATAAAGGCTAACACTAATTGCCAATATTGTTAATATTAACTGAAAGAGAGTCAAAGTCTAATATTATTTTTTGTGTGTATAAAAGATGCGCTTTACATTCTAACTTATAAACATAATATCGTTTGCTGTGGTTATCCACTTAACACATTGAATAAGTAACATACATCGTCATCGTCACAAACTCTGGGTAGACTCACGTTGGGTGATTGGAAATTTCTCTTGCGAGATATTCGACCGTTAACATCGCATTAATTTATTGAGTGTTACAGTTATTATTATCATTGCTGAATAATTCACTAAACCGGAAGCTAACTCCGATATTATCGTTAGCCTATGATAATTATATAATTCCATGAGTTACTTGTACTCCGTTGTAACGAGGTTACGCTCGACGCTTCGCAAAGGGTTAATACTTCAAGACAGAAGTATAAAGTGTTCGACGTGACGCTAAGCGAAATGTTAATAGCTCTATGCTCGTTGGGTTATGCTTCCCTGGATCTTGAAGGAATCTAGACAAGTGGTTATTGTGGCTAATAATATGCGTAGCATTAATACACAGGCCCATAATGAAGCGATATTGAGAAGAACCCTCATCGCGTTAACGACAGATGACTCTTAGTAATATCGACAAATTTCTAAAAAACTACCACACATCGTACACTCCTCGTCCATTGCACATCTGCCAGAAGATCATACAGAACTATTAGCGTATTGGCAGGTTCTCTGAACAATCAATAGCTTTATCAACTGGTTCGGTTGGCACTGGGAAATCTCATGTTGTCCATCCTTTGAGCATACATTTTCAACAAACAGGAAAATATATATGATAATCGCCACAACGGTGTTGCAGCCCATATTAATATATAGAGGAAAGACTATTCATTCTGCTTTAAAAATTTCATCTGTGACCGCTCGTATCAGACACTCAGTTTAATAGCAAAGTGAAATGCGTCAGATTAACACTTTAAGCATGATTTTCGCAAGTTTGCTAAAGTTTATTTCTGAACTATTTGCGAAATCACATGAAAACTAGCAACCGTTCGGTGGCGTTAATGTTCTCCTTGTCGACGATCTGTTTCAACCGCCAACCTGTTCATGGATCCGCCGTTTTCAATGCACCCGCTTTTCTTACACAAATCCGTCCGCTTGATAATGAATTATTATAAGAAGTCGGTTTTGGGAAAATATCAACGCTTTATGGCAAATGCTTGAAGCGAAAACACTCACAATATACAAATGCAATTGCCTCAATCAATTCATTTAATACAACATCGATTGTTGGATACAAACAATTAGCTGAGTGAATTAACGTAAGGAGAATATTAGAACACCAAATCCTTTCAGGAGTATGTTCAAAAGATACTGTACACCAACCTTCCAGTTGAAGTCCGACTACAACCAGGTACTCGAGTAACAACGATTTGATTTGATGCAACGACACTATTACTATACTAGCGTCGATCTGTCAAACCATGCTTTCTTGATCTCTAATGCACATCATCGTTTCCCAAAACATCATACTTTACTATTAATGGAACGATCAATTTTCAAGCATATGCTTGGAATATCCTTGCTTAAATACCTTTTCTGTCGCCATTGTAAGCATTCGTGAATACGAGCTTGGAACAAGAATATTTCATCTCCTAATTCGACGTATTACGGTTTTTAGCAACAGTCCCCCTATTTGCCTATTATTGATCTATTATGTCAAGAAAACCGTTGTGTTAACATAAACAATCGAACTTTTTCACCACAATAATAAGCACATTATCATTACGATATTTTACAACATATAACGCTCTCATTAACGGACTAACCACATATAAATATCATAATAATCAATCCCAGCTTTGGATCATTCTTGTCCAAGCCAAAAAATACGCACTTTTGTCTTCCAAATCACAATATCACATAACGTATAAACCAATTAATGCGTCACGTTTATCTCTGCAATTATAGCATCAGAATTGGGATACAGTTAAAAACTCACACATTACATATGAAAACGTAACCCAGACTATCTCCCTGTATATACTGAAAAAGCCAACACAACCATCTCAAAGACATTCATCTAAATACCCAAAGTGAATATAAAATAACAATGCTTGACTCCACCGCTGTTCATGTACGTGAGGTTATAAAACAGAAACAGCATTACTTAAAGCGAATGGCGTATTCCACCTTTCGACTGATTGGCTCGCACGACTACGTGCTTTGCTAGAAATTGTTGGGGTCTCAATGACGGCTAATGACTGCAAGTATTCGATCATTGTATAACTTGTGTAATACAATCACGAGGATCGTTAGCTTGTCAATTAAACTCAGATCTGCGTCCGGCAAGCCCATAAAAGTGCGGCACTGTTTTGAATCTACCGCTTTCGGCATTACACGTGTTTACGTATCAAATAATATTGGGATTCGTTTGATGTACACTATGCTTCGACATAAAGGTAGTTGGTAGTGAAACATGCACGATTATACGACATGTGGACCGTTATCAACGACACAAATGAGTTGTTGGCGATCAATGAGTATAAAAATACCAACCTGACAAGAACTACAATACAAATTTCAAGAGCGACTGGTTTGTTCTTGAAAAAAAAAAAAAAAACAACCAAAAAAACCGATTCAGCTGTTTAACTGTCATAAAGCATAGCTGAGCTAGCTTTTTAATTATCCAAGTACACTACCATCACATTGACCTAATATCAAACGCAATAATGAAGATTTCTGTAATTTTTATAGTGGTTGTTGGTTTAGTCCTTTTTTCATCTGCCACTCCACTCGAGAAGCGTCGTTTTGGTCAAGAACATTCCAAGTTTGTTGAACCACTTTACCAAAAAATGCGCGACAGTGCTGTGAATACCAATTATGGCGCACGAATTGGAAATCTGTCTGGCGAAGCCGTAAATGCTCTTCTTGCCGCTAAGCCTGCTTGCAGACAACAGCTTGTGGCGGATCACTTGATATTTTTTGCGAAAACAATGGGTGCTGATAAATCAATTCCAGATGGAAAGAAAAAGGAAAAATTTTTAATTGAAGTAGCAAAGAAATATCGAACCGCAGAGAGAAATACCAACGAGGTTGGAAAACCGAGTTTCTTGTGTGCGAGAAAACCATTCTTCAAGGAGTTAAATGGAATTGTACAAAAGCAAGATCCTGATGCGAAAACAAAACCAAAAACGCCTACAGACGCTTTTAATCTGGACGAACACTATGACCCACTTGGCGTTTTAGATAAAATCAAGGCTGCATCGAACAATAAAGGGGGAAAGCCCCCCAAGAAATCCAAAAAACCAAAGAAACCAAAGAAACCAAAGAAACCCAAAAAACCAAAAGGCAAGACTGGAAACAAAGCAGCTGACCATCCTCTCGCTGGTATTCAAATGCCATTTATTAAGAAGCTTGATAATGGAACTTTCCAAGTAAAAAAATTCACCTTTAACGACGTCGGCGCCGCACACAACCGTCAGTGTGCTATTCAGCACAATGCATGTGCAGATTCTTTCAACAAAGACAAGAACCCTAAAATTCCTAACGTTGGCGCTTGTGACAAGCAACAAGACGTTTGTTTTCAGGGCCCCCCCGTATTTGCAAAATAAAACATTACAGAATGATAAATAGTCAAATCAAATATTTACATTATTGTGGCAACAAGAGATAGCCAGTCCTGTATTGAGAGTATACCTTTGTATCTTAATTAATAAACAGCTGATTATGTTTAATAAAAATTGCATTATTGCTCCATTTATATTGTCTATCGTTATCGTTATCGTGCGTGTAATGTTTATATTAAGGCATACTCGCAAGCGTTTTAAAAGCTCTTTTTTTTATGCGTGTAAAATAATTGAGCTTTGTGTCTGAGTTTGGGAAGGTACAACATTGGCAACTTTTCGTGAAAGTCTTTTCTCTTACTGTTTGCACTACGTTATGGCTGGCCAATATTCGGCTATAAGATTAAAATATATATATTTGATAAATAGTATTCGTTTTATACAGACTTAATGTTGTTATGAATACTGAATGAAGAAATGAAAGATTTAATAAAAATTGCAAGACAGTAGACTTTATTTAATTCAGAATATCATCAGACGTTTGCCAATAGCACGTGAAGAAGCAGATATCAAAAGCAAAGCTGAAAACGTTTTTGGGTTCCAGAAATTTCTAGATTCTTTCTTACTACACGCTTGCATCTATAATCACGTGATAAAGGATTTAGCATTTATTCCTATTATTAAATAATTACATCGTAAAATATTCCTGTAGACTAGCTTGTCTTAGAGAATCGACTTGCCTTTTTTTTATCTGACATTGCAAATCTTTTATCCCTGACAATACAGAGCTATTTACACTTATATCATTTGATTGTTGCAAATAGTTCAATAAACTCTGGATACTTTCTAAAGCTATCTTATCTGAAACAATCGTAGGGATCGGCGTTGTCCAAATTTGGAAATCTCTCTGACTGTAATGTGATGCGCAAGAATGTATAAATATAGGTTACCTTCGTAACCGAATGTCAATTTCCCCCTCTCACGACTCAGTTGGCAACTCTGTCGCTTCAGCAGACATCAAAGCAAATTCCAACCAACACTGCACAAAAGATGTTTAGATAAAAATAACATCATATTTTAATTAAAAAACAATAGCAAGCTCATTGGTGTGTAACGTCATCATACAACTTTTAAGCCAGACAAGAACCCCAAGCCACAAAATAGACAATCGATTTTCGGAAGAAAAGATATTGATGGTAAAAAATTAGAGAGCATAAATGATGTAATATCATGCTCTTTTGCGGCATCTAGCCTGAATCTGTTATGTTTACTCTGTGGTTTTCTTGCAAAATGAATCATATATTATAATCAATGATTACCTAAATGCATACAGCATTTGAATAATTCTACAAACCCTTTCTAATTACATAATTACCCATCTAATCACAAATGTGACATATATATAATTTTTTTCATATGTTATATGTTGACAGAATCGGAAGACATCTTATTATTTTCATTTAGAATTTTCTCCCCCCTTCCCCCCTCCTCGTTCAAACCACGTTCCACCTCTGAATTTCTCTCCATCCATGTCTCTCATCAGTTCTCTCCGCCATGCGTAAACTTTCATATAACACAACATCCCACTTACATTTACCCTCTCGCACTTCATCGACTGCAATTGTCTCCATTGCGTACTCTTCTAAATGATCAAGAAGTAGAGGGGTCAAAGGGGATAGTTCAGAATCGAGAGTTAACATTGGCTGTTGTTGATGATGGGACTGCGAGAGTGGAGACGAAGTGAGTTCTTGAGGAATTTGAGAAAGCGAGGGTTCTGTGGGAGAGGGGGACGGAGACGCAAAGGGAGAACTTGTAAGAGATTCTACCCGTCTGTGTGTTATTCTTCGCGGTGGTAATGATATGTGAAGGGGCTGTATTGAGGATTTTGATGAATCTTTTGCATTTATTGTTTTTCCAGCGTACGTTACATCACCCTTGTTCTTCTCCGTGCTAATGACCTTCGTCTCATTTTCCTCTTCAACAAAAGTTTGATTTGATATAGTACTATTAGGACTAGCGCCGATTGGACCCTTATTGTCTGGCTCATCGCCACTATTTTTCTCCGTCGTACCTTTTCTTATACCATATTTCCCAAAATAATATGCCAACGAGATATGATCAATTCCTTTCTTCCTAATCTCACATCCAATCTCGTTCCCTGTCTTTATAACTTCATCTACCAGTCTGTGATACACTTTGTCAACTTTCAAACCAATCAAAACAGAATCTTCAGATCTAACAAAATCGTGTATTTTCGGCTGCGTGAAGAGAGCCAAATTGGCTGATATAAAGTTGGATATTACATTTTTTAAGATTATTACAGAGGGTGGGAAGTTTATGGCTGGGGAATAGATAGAAACAGGAGAGCGGGGCGAAAGCGGAAATCGATTGTTTGGGGAAGAGGAAGATGGTGGGAAAGTCGGAGAGTGAGAGGAATATAGCGATGTCGTGAATTGGTTGGGATTTAATATATTTATCGGTTTACTTATTGATTTCGACTCATTACTCAAGTCTTCATTGATTTTTCCAACTTTTCCCTCTTTCTTTCCTTCATCGTTGCTCAATACTTTCTCGGCTTCCGTTCTTTTTCTTATTAATCCGTCTTCATCGTCACTTTTATTTTTATCACAATTTCTACAAACAAAAAATCCTGTCATGGAAATGTGTGGATGATACTGCTGTGCTTCATTCTCAATATTCAGTGCAATACTTGCATCGTAGAAGGACTTGATAGTTTGGTAGAATTCGGACGAGCGGGCGGGCTCTAAGTAGAGAATGCAACGGCGTGGCAATGGACTGCGGTATGACATGTGAGTTGAAGGGGTAGTAGAAGGCAGAGTTTGAGATAGTGCTGTTCGTGCACTGTCAACGGTTGAAGCAACCGCGATTTGTTGAGGGTTTTTGGTAGACGTCTTTGCAAACGACTGTGTATTAGAAAATCCTAAATTTATATTCGAGACTTCTTTCGTTAAATCGCGATCATAGTCATCACGCAGTGTTCCCCTATTCTCTGTGTTTCTTTCCTTTCCCACTTTCGTCGACTTTGACTTGTCGTCCATGCTCTCTATCTATTTCGCGAGCAGAAAACCGTGAATGGACATTTTTTGTTTGGACTACATTTATACTAATACTCTTTACCTGGAACAATCGAGTTGGTCTCGGTGTGACATGAAATTTTTCGAATCGATGTGACCAATGAAGAAAGTTCATTATAAGTCGCCATTTTGTAGAAATAATATTCCGGAAACAATTAGGAAAAACAGGAAAAGGGTTTCACGTGGTTGACAGGCCGATTCTGGTTAGGTAGTGCATCCGTTGTGGAGCAAATACAGTATTAGGAGGGTGAGAAAGAATGCGGGTTCAACATAAACATCACAATTGTTAAAGCATCCAATTGGGAAATTGCGGTATAATAAGGTAATAATGAACCATTAATGTTAATAAATAGATAACATGCTTTAAAAAACCAAGCCAATACAATATGCTAAATTCGCGATATAATACATTTCCGTGAGGGTGATTATTAACGGTTCGTCAGAAATCAAGTCTTTGTACAAATAAACTAATTTTTGGTGCTTCCCCGAGATTGGTTGGTCCTTATTAGGAACAAGATGAATCTAAGCTCAAGCTCTGACATGATATTTGTTCAGAGACAGGGAGAAGGCATCGATACCGCCCGCCAAGTTTGACCTTGATATTAATTAATTTAGATTTTGTACGATTTTCTTTAGTTTACTGTAAATAATATACTTGCAACTTAAAATATCGTTGTTTTTCGATGCGCAAAGACCCGTAACTCTCGTGTAACGAGAAGGTCAAAGGCTAATATTCGTCCAACAATCCCCATTGAAAATAGGTTAGCGTTTATGATCTTCAACATCAGCCCAAGCGTAAACGTTAACGGTGAGCTTACGTAACAATCTTTATCATTGGTCAAATACTGCGGAAAAAACTGGAATGGTACAGTGACTTTCAAACTTTTATCCGATTAAGCGTAAATCGGTAGTTTGGTTACACGCGTTCAGGACTCCATATGAGGCAAACAAAGAACGTAAGAATCTCGTGTTGCAGGTTCTTCTCTGCATTATCTTCCAAAATCTCTAAATTATTATCGAACATACAATTTGATATAGTGAATTAAATTCGAAACTTTTAGCCGAGATTACTGAATTTAGAAAGAGGAGTCTGAGAATTTTTAAGTAAAAAGAAAAAAAAATGTTTAGCAATTATTATTTTATAAGACTAAAGATCTTCTACGAAAAAAGCAACACGCACCTTCTAAGACAACAGATGGACACGATAATCACTTTAGACATTTCATTACTACGTAACTTTTCCATACAAATATATATAAAGCACATTGATTATAAATAGAAGTTTTGTGATGTATAAGAAGTAGTAATTTCTATACCCTTAATATTAAACAATTTTTGAACTTGTTTATTAAACCGAAATTTGGGGTCTTCTTGGATCCTCTTTTAATGCCTTTGAAACCCACAGTACTCTTCTATTAACAAAGTTACCCTAAAAAAAAGCGCCCCCAAATATATATAATTTTCATGCGTACGTATTAAAATAGAGAAATTTTCATTTTAATTCGGTTTTGTTTTAAGCTATCACATTTATAATTACAATTGGAGTAATATAACACATGTTTTAGCGGAGAAAATTATTTGAACATCCTCGCAAAGCATTTATGCAAAAACCGGAATTTTTAATTTGCAGCTGATCATTAGAACAATGTTCGCGTTTTAATAGAGGGTGTAATACAAGAATTGTCTATGTTTTCTTCCCGACGAGCTAGTGTAGTACGGTTGACACAATTTGACGATCTATTCATCTCTGTTTTTAATCATATTGTCTGTCGACATTTCTTCTTAACCTCATCTTGAATACTTCCAATATTATTGACAAAATTCCAGCAATTATATATTCTATTGTTACGTTTTGGAATCAATTCGTATAAAAAATGCTCTATATCCGAATTCTTATCTAAATTAGGAAGCGTAAAATAAAATCGAGTCATAACGCGAGTCAAGAATTTTGTAGCTAAGAAAAGTAGACGCGATTATTATATAGTGTGCGCAAAAATTCCAATGGTTGCAGTGTTATAAAGGTGTTGAGGTGTCCTTTCATGTGTTAATGTTACAACCGTTCTGAGAACGGGTCAACCCGTTTCAACGTTATCACATAAATTACTGGAACAGGGCATAACATTGATAATACGTTTATTAATTTAGAATTCTCATTAAATGAATATTAGATCAGGAGTGAAAAAAATATAATTTCTTATCTACACATAACGATAATGTGGAAGCTTTGTTTTAAAGCACAACTATGGCCCAGATATGGCAAATATGACTGACATTTAACTTTATTTTAATTGAAGCTGGCAACAAGGGAATCAATGAAGGGATGTTCAAAACACATTTTTTAGAGATTTGGTGATAATAATAAGAATAAGATCGAGGAGCTTGGTTAGGGTTTTAGGATATAGTGCTTTAAAAGTAAAACGTCAGAAGGGCAGTACTCAGAAATAGAGTTTGGATTACGTAAAATGTATCTCCAGAAGCTATTGGTTCTAGGTTTACCAATTTCAGGGTTTCCTCATCAGGCTTGGAGTACTTTTATAGCTTAACAATGCAGTGCCAATTGTCGCACCGCGACAATCATCGTGATTATAGTCGTCAATCAATTACGTGTAAAGTAACAGGCATGGTATACTGAATATGTAGGATTACCCGGACAAAGTGAATTATCTCATTGAGACGACAGCTTGCTTCATGCCTTTTATCGGCGCTCCACCCTCTTGAATGCCTAAGTGGCTGTGCAGCGCTCCAGCCTTATGACAAAATGGTAGTCGGACACCCTCGATAGCTTTCGTACGGTGACTAGCCGTTTTCGTTTTGTACTGAATACTGTGCAATATAATTGATGCTTGCTTGACATTGATTTTATCCCTACAACTTAGAATTACATTTTCTACTTGCTTTAAGATGTGATGACAATAATAATGTTACATTTACTTTAAAGCTCTTAATAATTGGAGATGAGAGATCAGTATATAGTATTAGGGAAAATGTAATGGTTAGACAATCATAATAAGTGAACAATAGAGTTTAATTCTAGTGACATATTGGTTGAGGACAAACTGGTTGAGGACAGGACAAGCAGCACTATAAAGTATATAATGGGATGGTTGCGTTTATCATGTCTGATCTGAAACCATTAAGATGTTTGAGCCATTTCACTCAAGTTGCATTATATAATACATGAAGACTTGATATTAATCTGTTGATATGCTTCAGGCACGAGGTGTCTTAGCATGTCCAGTTAGTCTTATGCATACCACTAGCATTTGTAGCAAATAATTGATCATGTTCTTCTAACAGAGTTTAAATAGGTGCAGAGCTAACTTCACCATCAACACTTCACAAGTTTTAGAGTTGCATCATTCCATTATACGTCTCGTAGTTATAGTTAGGAAGCTGGGCTCGCAACCCAATAGATGTGGGGCAACATAATTATACAATAAATAATAAATTCTTTTACTCCTATAGTGAAAATGATTGACTTGTAAAGTGCTAGATAACACTAGGATGAAGGTCCTCGAATACGTGACGCATTCTGTCATTAATTAGTTATATTTATATTTATTACTATTTACACCCAGTCGCGGCACGACTCGATTCGCTCATTAACAAAGCAAATCATCAACAGCAATTTACTGGTTGTATCTTAAATGTCACATAATCAATTGGCCTGAATGGTTGCTGCTGCATTTTTATTTGATGTACTTGGGGTAGGAATTTGAGTGGTAATGGGTTCAGTAGCAATAGGTTGCGTAGCAATGCGTTGAGTGGCAACGGATTGAGTAGCGATGGATCGAGCAGCAGGTTGAGTAGTGGTAGATTGAGTAGTGATGGGACGAGTGGCAGTGGGTTGAGCAGGAATAGCTCGAACAGCAGTCGACTGCGCAGCAATGGGTTGTGTAGTGGTAGGTTGAATAGTGATGGATTGAGTAATAGTTGGTTGAGTAATGATAGGTTGCGCTGCCAATGACGATGATGGAAGTGTTTTAGAATTTGGTAATCGAGACAGAATTGCGCCGAGAAGGAGCTTATCATAAGCCTTTATCATAACCGATAGTTTTTCTGTTTCGGCTATCGCCACCTATAATAACGCGAATAGCAATACATATTGAATAGCAATTAATAAGTGCACTTACGATTAGCATAAACCCTTGGACTGTTCAATCTATAATTCTCTTCTCACCTGCCCACTTCCGAGAAATGTAACCAAATTTTCAAATGCCTGTTTGTTCGATACCAGCGTTGACGTCTTGGCCGGCCAGAAAGTTAACAAGCGTCTATTCTCCTGTTGCTTGAACGGTGTGGCATCGGTGGTTAGCGTGCGTATTTCGAGCGTAGCTGGGAGGTAATTGGATGACGTTTGGGTTCTTGATAAGAAAAAGTAAATGGGAGAATAGTATGAGGATATGCGTTATAGAGGGCCAATCACCATTTGTCTTATCTTTCAAATGTTGTTTTGTAGGCAATCGTTGCCTGTCTACATCAATCACTTTACTTGATCTCTTAATTTCAGATACTTACGTTGGTGGCAATCCCGTACTGTTGGTCGCGTTATTCGAATATGGCATGGAACAAACTTCACACTCAACCATCAAATTTCTACTGTCCACGTTTTCACTCCCTGTTGCAACCTCTTTGCCTTTTCCTTTTCGGTCATGATTAACAATAACTTTCTTTTCCACATCATCCCAAACCCACTTAATTCTGCCGTTCCATCCTCCGGAGCGCATGCTGTTAGTCCCATTACTATTCCCACTCCCAAGTTGAAGCCTACTTCCACTTCCATTGCCTTTGTCACTGCTGTTGACACCAGTTTTATCTACTCTCCTATGTTTACGTGTTAACTTTTCACCAGGGAGCTTCAGCATTGGGCCTCGTTTTGCAGTGCGTCCAGTGGGTGTGGCTAAAACGTAGAGAAAGGAAGCAAGAGCAAAAAAGAAGTAAATTAGTACTCAAATGAAGTTGACTATCTTTGTCTCTTGCTATAACAGGTTTCGGTTGATGTTATTTTCGAATGCAATGTCGCTAATGGTCTGGTCTCCATACATCAACAATCTCTTCTCCTATCGTCATACCATTTTCACCGGCAAAACCATTCTGCCTCCAATCGCAGCCAAGAGACTCCTGCCTCGTATAAACCCTCATCAGCTCCCTCGCTCTGGACAAGCCGTCAATATCCGGCCATGTAGCATAAAATCTTCCGGCGACATCGCATAAATCAATTGTAAACTCCTCCTCTTCTGAATTCAACGGTATCCATGAATAATCGTCCACTGTCTCTGGAATATTTTTCAAAGCCTGGCCTCGCTTATATAGATCTCCCGTAAATTGGATACCTTTTTCGGGATGTCTGTAGATGCTAGCTACGCGAAGGTAATATTTTTCATCTGATTCAGGTTTCAAACGAAGTACATCGTCCTCGTACACATGTTCTGATCCGATCCAAATGTAGTGGTAATGTGTATATTGAGCCATCAGTTCGAGGCGTTGTTTTTCCTTAATATCAGGTGAGGACAATAAGCGATATTCTGATTCTTTGTATCGATACGGAGATTCTACTGCGTAGCTCTCCGCGTATTTGCGTGCTGCAGTTAGAGCTATAGCGAAGGCAGATATGTAATCATGATTGAGTATGAGCTCTGTTACGTTGTTCCGAGATGGACTTGCATCTTCTGGAGTAATCATCGGAATGTGAGATAGCCATGGTCTAAGAGATGTTTCTTTGAGTCGTCTACATGTGGGTATACGTAGTAGTTTGACATGATAGCGTAGTACGACAGGAACACCCGGCTTTACGTCGTTACGCCTGTCGCGAGTCCATATTATTGACGGCCAATATCTTACTTTCCCATCATTCCATCGAATCATGGGAGTAAAGGCTGCTTCTCCAATATCCGTCAAGTCTACCCAGACTAATTCTCCCGTGCGAAATGCAAAATATCGCTTGTACAGTAAGGGTGTTGATAATTCTGTTTTCAATGTGGCCGGTTCTGCCTTTTTGGCTATCGATGATTCGGGTGAGGTTGTTACAGTATTGGTGTTGGGTACTGTACTACTTCTTGTGCAATATTTACATTGGCATGGAAATGTTTTGTCTGTTATTAGCCAGAAGATGTGCGGTTCTACTTCGTTGGCAGATCGGAATCTATGGCGACCTTTAATTCAACGTATATTGAACAGAAGAAAGTATGATGGTTTGAATATAAAGGAGATATAATCAATTAGTTCATCAAATGCTTCGTTACTCACCGAACAAATAAACATCAGTGCGTATTTTCTGCGTATTATCCTTTCGGGTTCTATGTTCATATAGCTTATAGCCGCTTGGCCAATTCGCCAACACTGCTGTATTCGGATCTAACCAAATAATATCAGTGGACAATAAGTCGCAGGAGCATGATGAAATAGCGTAGTAATAACAATTGTACTAATTTAGTATCAGAATGCGTATTAGAACAATCAATTAAGACGGGGCCTGGCGCAGCACATTATTAAATATGACGAAAATAATAAGGTTGATCGAACATGTTAAATGTTAAGATCGACTATTTAATTAGTATGTTATCAGCATGTAAGCAAGCGCGTTCCAAAAGCGGAATACGCAAGTTAAGCTATTAAATACTAACTATCATGTCGTTCATTGTTAACAATGTATTCTTACTCGGTCATTGTTCCATCTTCCAGCCAGCAATTCTCCTCGACGTTCCGAATCGCAACTTACCAATTTCGGCTCCATTCGTCTTGAGTCTAACAGCTAATCGCTGTCCTACCCTTTTTCTCCAATCGTGATTCTTTTTCTCCTCTGTGGGCAAGTAATGATAGTAATTCATACTGCCGTCTGGTTCTTCTGTTATAGTAGTGTTGGGGGGTGTGTGTGAGCAACCGTCTGAAGCAGTTACTCGTATTACGTTGTTTGCTAATATTTCATAACTCATTGTGAAAAGATCAAGTTGGAAACAAATGTCAAGAGTGAAATATTAGTATGGACCTAGTGAACATTCCACGTGACATAATGAGCTAGTGTTGGAAATTTAAAATAAGGTGACACAGATGTGGACACCCGGTCACGAGTGTCTAACGACTTAGTATAGGCATCTTCGCTTTTGAATATTCGGTTTACCAATAAGATAATAAGTGCGAGATCACTCACAAATCTCTTTACTCGGTAAAGGCTTCGCTATTATTCCAACAACGCAAAACGCGTGCAATCATTAGTGCGAAAATCCCAAATTGTATTGCATCAAACCGTGGAAATAATCTCAAACAATTTAGATATTTTCGTGCTCGTCGTATTCATGCTTATGTAATTATCTACATAACTCTGGTACCATGCAAAGTCTTCTTAATATAATAAAATCAACAACACAAATAAAAGCGGGTGGTTATTATTGGGATTGCCATTACTAGATACTGGTATACATTTGTCTTACCAGTACAGCAACATATGTCCCGTGAGTTGTGAAACTAAGGCCCTCTGAGGGAGAGGGTACTGAGGGGGGATACTATTACTAAGTGTGGCACAGATGTACTGAGAGGAGGGGGGTACTGAGTGTGGTACTGAGTGTAGCACTGACAAAGGGGGC